GGTGGACATTTGTGACGGAGGTTTACTTACGGTTACGACCCCACCGTCAGGTCGAATCAGCATAGTCTAGCACTATCTAGTAGTGCGCCAGCTGAGGGCCAATCGCCTAACGGAAATGCTTTGGAAAACGCTAACGCTTACGATTTTATTTTGTTATTTCTAGCCGCCTGAGGTATTCAAATGCCTCGCGCTCTTTCTTTTTCTTTTGCATTGGTAATAACAATATAAAAAAAAATGAGCGTGAGGTATTCGAAAACCTCAGGCGGCTAGAAATAACAATATAAAATCGTAGGCGTTAGCGTTTCCCAAAGCATTTCCGTTAGGCGATTGGCCCCCTGGTGTGAATCCTATTTTATTTCAGACTTCTAGAAATTTGTAACAATGAAGTCTGAATCGTCTGACACACTACTTGTTCGGCATTATGATGATCAGGAATTGATCGTCTTTTGTTTGAAATCGTAAAGTAAAGGCTGCATGGGCACTTCAAGCTTGGCTGGAGTCTGGTGGTCTGGGGGCCTACCGCCTAAGGGAATTGTTTTGGCTATTGCTATGGCTTATGATTTAATTTTGATATTTCTGACGGCGGAAGGTTTTGTAATACTTCGTGGTCAGTTTATTTAATATTGTTATTACTAATGCAAAAAGAGAGCGAGGAAAGGAGATTTGAAAACCTTCGGCGGCCAGAAATAACAAAATTCAATAATAAGCTATAGCATTAGCCAAAACAATCTCCATAGGCGGTAGGCCCCTAGGTGTGTCAGGGCAAGTTAGACAGTTCGCATAACGACTCCAGTACTGAAATGATGATCACTGATCGTCTCTTGTTTCATACCTCCACAAACGGGTGATTTATTTTCTTAGGCCCGTATTACAGAATGACAACTAATTGTTGATCTTTACTTGAGTACAGATAGAAAGGGATGTCGCTATGTATAGCACATAGCGACACTATAACTATGCTCAAGACTAGATTAATCACTGAGAATCTTTCTATAAAACTGGCCTAAGACACCTCGCTTTAATGCACGTTTATGCTAATTTTGAAAGGTCACGAAGATTAGAACTTGTAAGCTGATACTATTAATTTAAAACAACGTCAACATATAGGCTAAGCAATATCAAATGTGCATTTAAATATTTTTTAACCGTAATCACCTGTCTGTCTGATATTGAATGCTGCAAGGCTTGCTTCATGTGACTTCCAGAAGCTCTTTGTAGTCAAGAATCATAATATTATGTTTGAGAAGAAAATGTATTAATTTCCTTTTCAAACTTATTGTTACGATTCTTACTTACTGATCATTACTTTTGAATGGTCATTCAATGAATGTAGTACCCTTCACCAACTTTACATAGTCATGTACATTTTAATGAAGTTAATCCGTGTACTGGTGTCGATTCTGGCGTGATTCTCTGAACTTAAAACTAATTTTAACATCAGTCCTTTTCATTCTGTATAGAGAAGAACAAGGATACACTCTTTTCAAATTTAATTTTAGGTTTAGAGAATCATGTCGGAATAGGCACCAATTTTATATATTGTAATAATGTTTAATATATGTATGTGCTATATTGTTTTAAACTTTCATGGTCACTAACATTATAGTAATATAAGTTATTTACGGGAATGTTACCATGTACCCTGTTTTAGCGAGTTACACAGTGATCATGGGCGCTTGCAACAATGCCGAAATACCGGAAACTTGCTAAAGACAATGTACATGGTAACAATCCCTTAAATAACTTATATTACTAAAATATATATGTGCTTGTTACAGTACATTATAAATGAACGTGTGCACATAGCGACAGATCATCTGGCAAGATTCATTCATATGCACATTAAGGAACTGAAGGTTAGTGAAAAAATATTGTCCAGTACGTAATACACCAAGTTGTTTGTTTGCTGTGGGTGACAACATTGGATAATAATAAAAAAATCTTTATTTATTTCTTCACATAAGTAGAAAAAAGAAACATTTACAATAAAGTGCTTAATTACAATATTTCATTACTTTATGTGAAGACTGGTGCTTACAATAGGATAAACCTGTTCTACAAGACACCAGGCCTCCACTCCCAAAACTACATGAGCAGAGCAAGCCACCTATGTACTATTTATGTGATTAATGTATTAATTAATATGAGAAGTGCTTAAGATACAACTAAAAACACAATAATAAAAAATAAAATAAAAAAGTAGTTGTGTGTGAGTGTATGTGTGCGTGAGCGTATGCGTGTGTCTGTGTGTGTTTCTGTATGTGTATGTATTTATATTTAACGGTTCCCATAAATGCTTTATGTATTGCCATTGTATTATGAATTTGCACTTTTCTTGATCTATTCTAATTTCCTAAACTTGGATAAAACATCTAACATAATTTTAATTATGAATTCTTTAATTTAACTATAGATGTTCATCAGTGGCATTTTATGTATTCTCATGGAAATCTACCAAAGTTAAAATTTCCTTTCTTATTAGGTTCATTTGATGTTTCATGAATTGTGATGTTTTTTTTTGAGATTTGTTATGAAACATATGAACAATATCTTAACTATGCAATTTTGCTATAAAGCACTGCACTGCATGCACTTTATAATGTAATAAAAATAAAAAAAAAATATATTCGCAGGTGCTTTTAATAGCTTTAGATGACACCATAGACAATATGCTGACTATGTATGATAATCATAACGCTATAAAGACTGAGAGAGTTGCCACCTTCAACTCACAAGCTGGTGGGGCCGTGCCAACAGAATTTTATATAAGTCAAGGTATGTATCTTAGCTTGAATTTGTTTGAGTTATGTAGACTATAGCTAAATTTACTAGGTGAGCTTTATTGAGCAGTCGTTTGCGTCTTGGGTCTGTAATCAACGAAATAGAAATAATAATGAATACGAACTGCGCTGAAAAGTGGTCCCACGCATACTGCGATCAAGTGGGCGTGGCGAAAAAACTGCGATCAACACACGCCGATCATGGGATTGGTTGAGATTTCCATTTAACATTATATTACCCAATGAATGGATGGCCGAATTCATTTGTAGATATTTGATTTGTAAAAGTATTTTGTCTCTGAGCGTGTTGTGTTAATATTGCAGTTGTATTCGTTTGGAACAATGTTTTAGTGGCCTTTGTTAGAGAGTAATGCTTCCATAACACATCTAATTCGTTGTCTGCAATCATGGAAGTTAAGCGACTTTCTCAATGGTCGGTCATAAGATAAGCGATCAAGAATTTACTATATTCAGCATGATTCTTTCCATGGAAAAGGCCTATCCTATTAAAGTGGCGGCAATTGCGGTCTGATGATGCTGATAGTGTTTTCATATAGCCAATAGGGTATTTGACAGTTTAAATTACAAAATGCCAATAGTTGGCATCTATATTCGTATCGGTATCTCACTGTTGTCTCCATCAATGCCTAGCTGTTGGAGACGTTAAGTTTGATGACGACATTTTCACCAATTTCCGTTTCCGAAAGTTATCAAAAGGTCTGAACCGATATTTTCAACAATGTCCCTCTCCGACAAAAGGTTTGATGGCGATATTTTCACCAACCTCCATTCCCGCCAGAATAAATTTGTGGCAAGAACGTATACCTGTTTCTGTCGGACCTATCCTGCGATATCTACGGCGGGCTCTGGCGCCTTACTGCAAGGGGCCGCGTTCCATTTCCTGGGGTCAGACGACTTCTTCGTCGTGTTCCAGTGCAACTCATATTCGTCATACAATCATTTGCCCCATTGGGAGTCAAATTCGAGACCTCTGAGTAGGCAACACCATCAAAACTAATGCATATATCGCTCCTCTCCGAAGGTCATCAATAGGTTTAATGTTGATGACGACATTTTCACCATAATCTGGTTTGATGACGGCATTATCACCAATATCCGGTTTGATGACGACATTTTCAACAATTAAAGGTTATCAAAAAGGTTTGATTTGACGATATTTTTCGCCAGAATACTATTGCGGCAAGAACGTATACCTCTTCCTGTCGGAGCTTTACACCGACATCTACCATATGGGGAGGGGTCTGGCGCCGTACTGCAAGGGGCGCGCGTTCCATTTCCTTGGGTTCGTGCACTTCATGGACGACAACCGATATTACTTGGAGGAGGATCCTTCAGTCGTGTTCCAGATGGACAACTTCATACATGGACTGGAGTGTCATTTGGGGATATGTATTTTTAGGTGAGCATATTTTATATTTTCTTTTTCATGATAGCTCTTTATATGGCTATTCGTGTATGCTATGTTTACAATTGACAGCAGTATATCCTTGTCATGCTTATAAAGGGAATAAAGTGAATACAAGAGACTGCTGTCAAATTTGCAAATAGCAAATACAATTCCCTACAATTGAGAAATATTTAAAAGTTAGTAGCTTAACCTAGAATTTGTAATTAAATCTTTAATCAAGTCAAAAGGCATTATAATTAGTCTAATTCTGGCATGATTTTCTTAAACTAAAGTCAACAGTACACCCTTACAGAAGAGAGGTAGGGCATAGCGGATTTTCCGCTTGCATTGGAGCTCGTCTGGGGAAGAAACTCCACCTTACAGAAGATCACAGTAAAAAAACATTATCTTTTGGTGGTGTAATGTTTCTGTCGTACCACTAGGGGATTGGGTCAGGGTAGGCAACGGTGCGAGTGATAGCTTGGGTATCGCAAGCGTCTGTAGGCTGTAGTGGCCGCTTACCATCAGGCGTGCCATATGCAGACCCCTCTTTCCCAGTGGGCACTTTGGGCAAGTGCCCAGGGCCCCGCGATCGATAAGGGCCCACTTCAGATCAAATACAAAGTCCCTAGTTCCAGTTAGATCACCAAAGGGGGGTCATAGGGGCCTCATTATCCTAATAAGCCCAGGGCCTTCAATAGGTTAAAGACGTCACTGGCCATATATGCCTGTGTGCCATGCTTTAAACATGAAAAAATCCTTGTCATGTTCTATATAGAAGAAAAGGAAAATATCAAGTTAAAAGCCATCCGTAATTTGCAACATTACATTTACTACCAGAACAGAACCTGTGCATATGGTTTATCCTAGATGAAACTGTTTAGGAGTGCTGGAGTATTCATCGTCGGTTGACATGTCTGTAGTAGAATCCGTCGAGCTTTCAGCGCTCTCTCGGACGCACTTGTTGAATATCTCTCGTCGGTATTTCCTGACGTCCGTGAACACAAAGATACTGACGTTGCCCTTGTTCAGGGTGAAGCTTCCGATGCCGAAGAGTTTGTTATTGTAGACCAGCAGGGAGCCAGATGCGATACCTAGAAGACAAAGCTACTGATATGTATTTTTATTGAAGATTTGGCAAAAGATTTGTCTCTAGGACATCAGGGTCTTAAAATATGAGTGGAGTCAGTGGCAAATATATTTGCACAGCTACGAACTATATGAGTCATCCCCGCTATGCCATCCTGAAACTTATACTAGTTTCCTGAGGAGTTCTGGCTATTTATGTAGCCGCTGTAACACACACACACACACACAATGCGAAACTTCTTTTTATGCAGAGGTAGGCAAATGATACCAAATCATCTGTTGTAAAATTGTAGCGGAGTTAAGAACATGAAGATAGCTAGAGCTGCAATTTTATCTGCCACACCAGCCTCTCCTATCTTACCGGCCGGCATAAAAGCTTATTCATATGTCTTCAAAGAATCCCGGGTTATAGAAAGCGACAGAACATGTTCGCGAGCAAAGAATTCAATCACATTTAACATCAAGAAGTTTTTTCATGAGAAGTGTGATGAATAACAACACTCATATTGAAAACATTAAGTTAAATGTTTTCAAGATGAGTGGAGTTATGTGTTACAACTAAAAAGTTATAATCACAGAAGTGTTTCCATGTTTCGGCGGAGTTGTACCGTGAAAACATGGCGAATGCAACTGTGTCAAAGTAAGCTGCAAACATGTAAAGAATTAATTTACCTATTTGATTAACTATGACTACCAATGTGTCTCTAAACCATCTGCATAACCTACCTAAATTATTATCATCATTTTTGATGCAAATAACGCGTCCCCAATCCCTGATGATCCATTCGTCGCAATCTGTGACAACATTCGAGCCTTCCTCATACTCGTAGGTGCTGAGTATAGACCCATTGCCATTAGCGATATGTTTCGCATCTTTATATCCGAGTGAAGCAAACTTGACGGCATTGCCCAACCAGTCTTTGCGTTTTGCGAGTACCGTGATCATTGGGCCTGTACTAGTGAAATAATAGTAGCTAATCGAATCGAAGGAGTATTTTTGAGGGTCTGGGTCCAGGAGTTCGAGCTTGGTGTCAATACGCAGAATCAGTAGGTCGTGAACAGAACTGTGTTGTTTGCCGATTCCGTGCCACTGTTCTGGTGTAAGACTTGTATCGTTTGTAGCAACGACTTGTTCGTGACACTCGATGGAGTAATACTCAATTTTGTGGATGTATTGGAATGCTGTACTGTTGAACTGTCTTCCCATCAGCACCGCAACTGCTAGGTCTGTGAATTTATTCTCTGCTATAGTTTTGCGGTAGGGATTGTAAGATGTCAGGATTCTTTCTTCGTCTAACAAAATTCCGGTGGTGATTACCTGAAAGAAATTACAGTATCTTATGCATTCAATATTTACCAGTAAAATATTAGGTGAGACGGTATAGCGATCCTGCTTTGCTTTCTACTCCAAAATGTACGAATCCTTGTAGAAATTTTGTTGAGTGATGCGTTCAAACATTTTTACCGCGTCCTTGTTGTTCCTGGATTCCACAAGTCCTTTATTCTAAGCGCTCTTGTGGATTATAGGCAGAGATATGACCTCCCAAGAGGATCGTACTAAGAATTTGTTTAATATTGAAAAGCATGATAATTTAAACATATCAAAGGTAGGGAATGAGTCCTGATATCCAGGCTCCATCTTCGGCCTCGTCAGCACTTTTGAGTGTCATATCTGGGGACAATTGCTTGCTACACTTAATAAAAATACTTGAAAGCAACTCATACTACACAATAAATACTGACTTAGAGCATCGAGAAATTACTATTTCTCATTTAGCGCTATAAAAGACTAATTTAGCTTCTTATTTTGTAATTGGCATAACAATTCCAGTCTGTAATAGCTGCCATCAGTTCTATTACTGGTCAAGCAGAATAAATGATCTGAGCTTACCATCTGACTGGTCCTATTGCACACCATAACCACTCGGTCGAAGTATATGTCCATGTTGAGCGGTCTACCCTCGTTATCCATCTCTTCCACCCATTTTACAGACAAATTTCCAGATGTAGTCTCCGATCCATCGTTCTGGCTATCCGTTTGATACAGAACGTAGACTAAACTAATAAACGCTATGACGTATGGTGACCTGTGAATCAATGTAAATTAGTGCAAGGTGCGTTGAGAATCTCAATTGCGCAGTGGTTATTATGTTTGATCTGAGATCGTGGGGGTTGAGCAACTTTTGCAATGGCCGGTAATGACAACAACACACACACACAGTTGATGTGTCAAAAATTTACTATCACGAGTTCCACCGTGCTTCAGAACTCACGTTAAGCCGCTGATGTTGAATCAAATAGTTTCTTTCCAAACCAAACTTTTTACTGAATTATTCACATTATTAATTTATGACTATTTCACCTACATTTTCAGAGAATATCTCGAGGCGTAGTTGTTTCAAGTAAAGATTTACAGAACTGATTTTGCTCGACACATGTAAACGTGAATGCGTTATAATAATTTTGTTTACATAATTTATTGCCGAATTTCCGTTGTTGTAATGTTTGTTTATGTCTTTACATCCTTTCTTATTACACATATCTACAAATGGTAGAGGGGCTTTCTCATCGCGAACTCATCGAGCATTCGCTGTGTCAATTATCATATATATTTCTGTATTCGAGTCCTAGATAACACGCGCGTATTGATACTCTCATACAGCAAGCAGCTATAGGTAATGGTGGCCAGTTAACATCAGACGGGTCACAACCTTTTTTTTTAACCAGGCAAAACCTCTATTTCCAGTCGTTGGCGCCCTTAAGGGGCAACCCAACGAAGGGACCACACCTAGCCTCTCACAAGTCTCACGGTTGCGGAACGGAGAAGCCGATGAGCAGTTCGTGCGGCTTACGAGCGCTTACGGCATACTATCCGCTAAAAATCCCTGCGAATACCCTCTACGCCACAAAACACAGAAACCTCTTTCTGTGTTTTGTGCTTTACGCTGTTAAGTGCGGAACCGCGAGATCCCCTTTGCGGGACTTTAGCGTGTCTCCGCGCCCAACAGCCTTCCGGAGACGGGTCACAACCTAGTTTGCAAGGGCGGATCCAGCTTTGGCGCCAGGGTGGGGGGGTCATATAGTCTGGTCTAGTCACAGTGGGTACAGATTGTGAAGTTGGTACAGATGGACCCAGCCCAGATGGGGGGGTGGGTCACCCTCATGACCCCCCCTCTGGATCCGCCCTTGCTAGTTTGTCGTACTATTACCATAAAAAAAGAGAAAAACAACTTCACGGGTGGTGCAGGTAGAGAGAACAGCGGACCAAAAGGCAGAGCTTATACACATAGTGGTGTAAACAGAATGAAAAGGAGAGACTGATGTTAAATTTAGTTTTAAGTTTAGAGAATCACGCCAGAATCGGGACCATTAACTCCCTTGCTTTCATAACTCTTTAAAAATGAAGTTCTTTCTACCACAGAAAAGTTTAACAATCGGGCGTTCAACACGGGCGAAGCAAATGTCACACAACAATTACTAAATCAAGTTTATTTAAAAGCTGAACTGTAGTGGTAGTTTTTAAGTCCGGCATCGCATTTCTGATTCTCCAGGTGTTGCAGGTGTCTATGGGCGACGCTGATCAGTGATCACTTACCATGAACGTCAGCTCGTATGCCCCCTATATTATAAAAAAGGTACACTCAATGCTTAAACGTTGTACAGCGATAACACGTTTAAGGCTTTTTGTACGACGTTCTCGTCTTAAACTCCCATTAAAAGCCTTACCTTCTTTCTGGTAGACTATAATGGTGTCGATTCTGGTAAATCTAATCTCTAAATTTAAACCAAAATTTAACATTAGTCTCTCCTTTTCATTCATTGTATAGAGAACTAGCGGCCGCCCGCGACTTCGTACGCATGGAGTTAGTTAGAAATAAAGGTTCACTGCTCGTTCCCCGTAGGTGATAGCGTGATAATATGTAGCAGTTATGTTGACTCGATTTCTTAATAATACTCGTGCCAAATTTGAAGTAAATCCATGCAGTACTTTTTGAGTTTATCCCGGACATACATACAGACAAAAATTCTAAAAACTATATTTTTGGCTTCGGTATCGATTGTAGATAACACCCCAAGTATTCATTTTAAAAAATAAAATCTAAGTACAGTTTTGACTTTCCCACCATTTTATTATATGTATATAGATGACAAGGATACACTGTAGTCAAAGGACACCCGGCATTTTGTGCCAAAGTTGTATACTTTTTTATTTTTTTTATCTGTGTTTCATAATTGGGTAACGTAGTCTGGCAATATTTGTCATCAGCAGCTAGCTGTCAATGTCATATACGTAGGTTTGTCATCAAAAGGGTTTCTATATCAAAAAGTATTAATCATTAAATAACTTCTTTCCACGATTCACTAAAAATAAGGCAAAAGTAGTTTTATGTAGCAAATAATTTTGGCTTTATTTTGAGACCGAATTCAACTGTATACAAGTTTAGCATTTTTTCTATGAAAAGTGCCGAGTCTCCTTTCAATTAAGGTTTAGAGAATCATGCCAGAATCGCTACCAATATTAGTTTTCATCTACTTTACCAGGTTTCCATTCAAGAAGAACCTACAGCACATACGCGACGTGTCCACGTTGCCTAAAGCCATAGTGAAATGCGGTACAGAGACGTACAAGCTGCCGCCTCTCACCGCCGCCTCCTGTATCATCACGTCAGGTTCCTTCATACTGGACTTTAACATTCAGGGAATAAGGTTCAGGCATTACGACTATCTTTTGGTGAGTTGGTATATAAGAAGAAGTTAATTAGCCTTGTAAGTACACGTTACATCTAAGGTCGATGACGCAAAAAGGTTAGCGCGTATGGTCAAAGATATGCAACTTTCGCGAAGATTGATGAAATCTTGGCGCTGCCTTGCAGCTTAAGAACGGCTAGATGAATTTCGACGCGGCCATCAGGGCCGCGGTAGCATAATTGGTCAGCGCAAATCCCCCCGGATAGCGAAGGGTGCGGGTTCGAGTCCGTCTGCTGACTGGTCCGCGTGGAACTTTTTCCAGTTATATTATTTTTTTGCTAAATGACAAAGCATTTTAAATGAAAGGAATGTCTTGTTACGTGATAAAAATGATAAAGTGATATACAAACTGTAGTACGTATGAATTTCATAAGAGGTTCAACAGAACAGTTACTCTGGCTTATAAAAAGTAACTTTTTTTTTACTTTTTATAAGCCAGAGTAACATTAACTGAACCTGGCTTGCATTATCTCTTAAATTTTGTGACGATATGAAACACTTTTGTCTAGTAAACAGTTTTGTTTACTTGAAAAAAAAAGTATAACTTGAATAAAAATATCATTATCATCATCATCATCAGCCTATTAATGTCCCAACTGCTGGGGCACAGGCCTTCCCTATGGATGGAATAGGGAGATTGGGCCATGACCCACCACGCGGGCCCAGTGCGGATTGGTGGGTGCTAACGACTGCAGATGCAGCCGGGACCAACGGCTTAACGTGCCTTCCGAAGCACGGAGGAACTTGAGATAGTAAATTTTTGGTCACCCATCCAATAACCGACCACTGCGAAAGTTGCTTAACTTCAACGATCGCAGCCGAACGCGCTAATCACTTGCGCCATCGAGCTCCTCGAATATCTAATAATAATAAAAATATATTGAAACTAAAATAAACTTGTTTCTTTTTAGATACTTGCGAATGGCCACACGTTTTACACGAAAGAGCCGTACTCGCCTTTGGTCTGCGATCATCACGTTTGCGAATGGAATAACACCAACTTCTATGGAGGTATTTGTACCACGTCACCTCTTAATGAGGAGTTCGATGGATGGATTATGGAAGTTGGAATGGGTGACCGATTAATCAAGGGCGGATCCAGCTTTGGCGCCAGGGGGGGTAATATAGCCAGCTTTGGCGCCAGGAGGGGGGTCATATAGTCGTGGTATATTAAATATTGAAAGTACTTCAATAAAATCTCCCTGGGTTTGGTCCATCTGTACCCAGCCCAGGGGGGGGGGGGGGTCATGAGGGCCCCCCCTGGATCCGCCCATGCGATTAATTCTTCTCCCCTTTTGTATGCGATCATCACGTTTGTGAATGCAATGATACCAATTACTATGGCGGTAGTTTTATTAAGCATTGAACTGCTAGATGTCTAAGTCTAAAAATATAATTATGCTAGAAAACAACATTGACCATCAGGGTCGCGGTAGCATTATGGTCAGTGCATCCGCCCGAATAGCGAAGGGTGCGGGTGCGGGTTCGAGTCCCAACTGCTGCCTGGTCCGCGTGGATTTTTATGTAAGGTGTAAGAGAAATGGTGGTGGGGTTAATGAGAACACATTAATGAATATAAATTTATTTATTCGTAACCCCTCGTTTACACCAAGAAATAAGTCATATACCGGTTTTACATAAAGCTTGTAGAATACTTGTTGTGTTCTGTTAATATTTCGTTTACACTGCATAGACAACTAGTATCTTTACAAGTATTGTTTACACACATCTTTATATATATAATTCTTCTGTGAGTGTGTATGTCACTGAACTTCTCTTAAACGACTGGACCGATTTTGATGAAATTTTTTGTGTGTGTTCAAGGGGATCTGAGAATGGTTTAGATTCACAATTTTGCCCGCTGGACAACAGCTTTTTTTAGGGCGGTTCGAAGTTCACTGGGTCAGCTAGTAAATATATATAATATCAATCTGCTGCTGCAATCTTTTAAATTGAAATGGCAATTCAGTGGTATTTTACTTTCTCACACCTTCTTGAAGTTCAAATACTCGACAACAGATGGCGCCACTACACTTGATTTCCAAGTTGAAGGGTTGGAAAGCCCTTATATCTTTAAAAACACGCCCATTAGGTTAAAACGGGAACTTTCTTGTTTGAGGGGGGATAAAGGGCTATCACACTATATAAGTCCCTTTATCGTGCCGGGACTCCTTTTTAAGTTTTATCGGCACGCACATTTTGTCAACTTATTATTACAAGATAAAATAAAAAATAAAAAAAAAACTTAGTTTTATTATATAATAATAATGATTATTACTTTTGGGCGGTACGGAGTTTAACAAGTCAGCTAGTTAATTTTAAAACACCAACTACCTCTTAGGGGTGATTCTACCCATCAACAGGAATAACTTTTATTATGGGACCAACACTAAAATCGAAAAAAAACCGACCGAAATATATGTAACAGCTGATTTTTTTTTCGCGTATTTCAGGGTTGGTCCCTTAATAAAAGTT